ACAAGACATAATGTGTACAAAATTAGTTGCACACGATTGGTGTGGAAAACATTCACTAAAGTAAACTAATTAACAAATATGTCATTTTCCAGAAAGAAATAAAGCAGAAGAAAAAGATACAGGGATCAAGACGTCAAGCATCCTATGCTTACAATCTACAACTTCAAGATGGATCAATTCATCAAGTCTGCAAGCCACTCTTTGCTTCTACCTTCGGTGTCCCCGAAAGAACTCTTATGTCATGGATAACAGATCGTGGTGATAGTTCGTCAGCAGCCTCATCAAGCGATAGTCTGTCAGCAGCTAAAACACCATCCAAACCTGGTCCCAAAAGTGGTATGTACACGTCATCTGTTTTCAACAGTTTTCAAATTTCATTACTCGTATAACTGAGGACAGTGTGTCGACTTTCTTTTAAATTATCATGATGCTATAATTCTCTTGTCTTTTCAGGAAAGTGTGCAAAAGTGACTGATGCAGATAATGAATTTCTCAGAGCCTGGTTGAAGGGCCTGCCGACTGTGGACTCGCATTATTGCAGGAGCACACCAACGTACAAGGAGAAACATTTCTTGTATCCTGGGACCACAATTGCGAACCTTCATCGGGAATACAAAGAGGATGCTGAGAAAGGTGGAGCTAGAGCTGTGGAAATTTCTTACTTCACTGATAAATTCCATGAGGAAAACTTATCTGTCTTCATCCCCCGGAAAGATCGGTGTGATGTATGTGAATCCTTCAAATATGGCAACATCAGTAAGGATGAGTACGACAAACACATTGAACTCAAGGATGAAGCTCGAAAAGAGAAAGCACTTGATAAAGAAGCTGCCAGTGCAAGTAAGTCTGTTTGGACTATGGATCTGCAGGCTGTTCTGTTGTGTCCGAAAACTATGGCATCTACCATGTACTACAAAACAAAGCTTCAGCTACATAACTTCACTCTATTTAATCTGGATTCCAAGAAACAAGGTTACTGCTACATCTGGAATGAAACCGAAGGTGACTTGAAAAGTGAAGTTTTTTCATATCTGCAGTACCATCACTTTGAAACTATCATCTTAGAGAACCCTAATTTGCAAGAGCTTGTGATCTGGAGTGATGGATGTGGCTACCAGAACAGAAACGTGAAAGTTGCCAATGCTTATTCTGCTCTTGCAAGAAAATATGGCATCAGGATCATTCAGAAGTTCCTTGTCGCAGGCCACACACAAATGGAGTGTGACTCCATGCATAGCACCATTGAACGAAAAATAGTGAATGATGTCTTCACAGAGCGAGATTATGCAGTACTCATCCAGTGTGCTAGGATCAGACCAACCCCATACATAGTCAAACAGATGAAGCACCAAGATTTCATGAAGATGGAGAATTTATTCTTCACCAGCATCAGGCCTGGTAAAAAGTCAGGAGATCCAGTGGTTCATGCTCTGCGGGGGTTAATGTACCTAAGTGATGGAACAGTGAAATTCAGGTTGTCATTCAACATCCACTCAACTTGGGAGGCTCTGCCACACCGGATTCAAAACGTGGAAACGAAATGGATCCCACTCTATTCTTCAAGACTGCCTATTAATATACGGAAATTCAACGACCTTCAGTCCATGAAGACAGTTATGCCAGCTGACTGCTATAATTTTTTTGATACCTTGCCTCACGAGTAAGGATTATTAACAGGATTTAGTTACTCTGTCATAATTGTGAACAGATGCAGGGAAGCAATGTTTTGAGAATCTTTTAATTTCTCCCTGTCTTTTCTTGTAGTTTATTTTTTGGAAGGTCTGAATTTCTTTTTATGAAGGCCATTTGTTACTATAAGTCATAATTGTGAACAGAGTAAAGGAAACAAGGTTTTGAGAAGTACTTCATTAATTTCTCCATATCACTTGCATAAGTTTATTTTTCAGAATGTTACTATACAACATAAATCATAATTGTGAACAGATGCAGGGAAACAGTGTTTTGAGAATCTTTTAATTAATTTCTCCATGTGTTTTCTTTTGGTTTATTTTTCGGAAGGTCTGAATTTCTTTTTATGAAGGCAAGAATACCTTTTTTCAGTGTTTAAGTATTTTATTGTGTTTAATAAATTTATTGGTGCTTTGATAAACCACAATTATGAAAAGCTGCTAGGAATTAATGTTTTTGAAAAGATTTCATTACTAAATTTTGCACTTTTCCCTTAGTTTCTTCTTCAAAAGGTCTGAATTACTTTTTCAGAAGGTCTACATATTTTTTTTGACTGTTTTGAACGTATTTTTGCTTTACCATTTTGCCTAAGTCATATGTAAACAATACCAATAAAATTGCCTAAGACAGTTTACTTTGCTTTATATTAATGAATAACACTTTATGCATGAGAAAAGCATATCACTGTTATTGTACATCTATCAAGAAGTTTTAAAATGATAAACACTGCACTGATATCAAAATTAAGAAAATGAGAAAGTTTTTTTCGATTTCCCAAAATGTTGAAGAAATGACTTAGGCAATTATTTTATGAAGGTGACGATATATAATATATGTATGTATGTATGTAAAATGTGTATGGTATATATATATATATATATATATATATATATATATATATATATATGTGTGTGTGTGTGTGTGTGTGTGTGTGTGTATGTGTGTGTGTGTGTGTGTGTGTAAAACTAAAAAGGATATTTTTTATGATAAAGTAATTTCACTTGTTTACATATCAACTAAAGTTTGACAATTCCTAAAGTTTATGAACAATGAAACCAAATACGTTAACTTTATTTAGTATGAAGTCTAATGGTAACTTTCTGAGATATAAATACTAATAGTGATAACAATAGGTTTTCAACTGTATTATACGGGAAACCTAGTTGTTAGGGTCTCAACATAATATCCGACTTTCTTGTTTAACCTTCACTAAACTCTATATATATTCAAAGAACGAATGGCTTTCCATCATTCCATTTATAGAAGCCTATTAGACGTGTTCTAAATAGTACCTTTACACATAAAGGAATTACATACCTCGTTCTGTTTGCAAAGCTGTTATAAACAGAAAACGGTTGAAGTTACTAGCACCTACTACTCTACAGTACATATAAAATTCATTTCCACGTCTGGAAAAAACATTTGAAAACTGCTACAAAGACAGAATTCTGAGCCTATGCATGTGGTGTACATTTACTCTAGTGTAGATTTACCTTGCCGTAACTTTTGTGATATTTAGACTAGATAAGACCACGGAAATCTTATTTGTGCACATGGACAAATGTTTTCCTAACCAAAGAGCACAGAGCTAGGGCTAAGTTTGACAATGGAGCCACACGGTCATGAGTGTCCAATTAATTTACAAGGAAGTGTAAATCAGTATGGCTGAGGAATGATGCTATTTCTTATTCCACTTATGAATGCAGAAAGTGGTGCAGATACTATAATAGAAACGACTCATGATATTTTGTGCCGCAAATATGGATATGATTAAGCTTGTGTCCAGCAGTAATTTAATTACCACTTGGCATTCAACTATAAATGAGGGGGAAAATTCTGCACTGGGACTAAAGTAGCACAGCTTATCAGATAAATTTTCATCCGAGGGCATTGTTATAGAATATGTACAAAAAAAGCTGTACTCAGTATAAATTTTTGATCCCCTTGACTTCAAGTGTATTTCTCAAGGTCTGAAGATTTAGTCTGCAGGGTAATGCTGCTATACCAGTTTATTCAACCTGCAAAATTATGGGTAGCTAGCTATAAAACGAATATTCCCGAGAAGACAAGAGTAATATAATAGTAATAACACAAATTCATGTAACGAAAAATTATCAGCCTCCATACTGATTTACACATGAAGAATGGCAATAAATCAAAAGACATGGAGAGAAATCATAGTAAACATCCTGTTGATCATAAAATTTTATATAACATTACTTAGATCATGTTTATTCACAGTACACAAAATAGATGTTAGCATAAAGTTCATTCAACCTAAAATACATCTGTTATTAGTATTCAAATTTACGTTCCATAATAATATACCAACTTAATCGTGATGAGAGAACTAAATGCGTGTCTTTGAAATTGAATAGTATCATCAACGAAAAGAAAATGCAAATGTTCATTATCAGACGTTCCTTATACCTTTTTATCTTTTTTCGTCCAATGTTACAAACCAGCCAGATACTACAAACTAGCCTGAAACTCCACAGGAATATATCTTCAGTGATTAGTAATAATGAAATAGAGTATCACTGATGGCATCCAAATCAGGAGGCTCACTTATAAAACGAATGACTTTACCAAGGCTAGAATTGATGGGGGCACTGCTTTGTGCTAGCTTAGTGGACTTTGTGATAAATGGTTTGCAGCTGAATGTTAAATGTAAAATGTTTTGTTGGACAGGTTCTGTTATAGTTTGGGATGGATTAAGAATGGTGCTGTGTAAAAAGAACATTTATTGCTCATAAAGTGACAGAAATACAGGGACTGACTCCACCTAGTTGTTGGAGATATGTTGAGGGAAAGGAAAATCCATCTGATTTAATATATATAGGAGCACTGATAAATGGATTAAATGTAGATGGATTCAAAATTTGAGGTTGAGGATACTGCCGAGATCGTATCTAAAAAAGGATAATGGTTGTGTTGAGAGTACTGTATCTGTTTGTGTAAACAGTGGAAAATAAACCCATCAAAGACATACTGAACCCTTAAGGATTTTGGCATACGTGATAAGATTCATTCATAGCTGTAGGCAAATGAAAATTATAGGCTAAAGATATTAATGATAATAAGGTTTTGTATTGACAAACTAGGGTCTTCTAGAGTATGAGGATGCCTTGACTATTCGGCATTACCATGTGAGACTAAAACTGTGATTGTGTCCAAAGGGTCACGTAGCGAAGCTCCTCGTCAGATTCAAGTATAAATTTCTCATACACCGTTGTAAACACTGTTGTATCAACATTAATACCTATTTTGGGGATAATAGTTTGTAGGAGGCTGGCTAATTCCGTTGTGAG